TAATTCACAACCAATGGTAATCAATTGGCCGATATTGTCTATCCCAATTCTCTTGGCGGTTTATTGTCTGTGTTCTGAACTGAATTCTCTTCACCCGGCCGCTTTTGAGCTTGACAACACAGCTAGAAAGTGAAATTTATCACCGCCACCCCGGTCGACCGTAGCATACAATGGTAGGTCTTTGTGTCAGACAATTCCGGGGGATTTACAAAGAGAGAGAGAATGGTTCAAAATTATTCGCTCGACTTAACACTAGAATGTGAGACCGAAAGAGTTTTATGTTCTTTTGTGTTCCAGCGATAGCAATCGTTGATCAACTATTGCTTGGTTGACCTGCTTATTTCTGTATCTCTCTCTCTTTCCCACACATACGATGATCTTGTTCCCATGGTGTTTATCGGGCATGCTGATTACATCAAGTGTCATGATTACATAACTGTGTGACTCATCGAGATGACTGATTATGTCTACTACTACCACTACTACTACTACTACTACTACTACTACTACCACTACTACTACTACTACTACTACTACTACTACTACTACTACTACTACTACTACTACTATTACCATATGGCCGCAATCATTAATCGTGGGTCAATCTGGTTTAGACGTTCACGTTGCTGCTGGTCGGCTAGAGCACTAGGAAGGCATGCTCCAGGAAATCGATTTCTTTTTAAGTTTTCTTCATGGTCATTGTCCATATGACGGAGAAACGGATGCGTACTGCATCGTGTAGGATTAAAACACAAAACCGACCACTGGATCCATTTAGGGGTCAAAAACATGTGATATGTTGAGCCCTGTCTGTCTGTGTGTGTGTGTGTGCGTTCGGTTTCGAACCATCTCCCTCAACTCGATGGATTAGCATGTGGAATACAGATTCCGTGGGCATTCAACCGCCAACTACTCGAGTCAATCCTCCATATTCTGACTCAAACCACAGGCCAAATTTAAGGGGACGGGAACAGTCTCCCATTTTCGTTCACAAGACATTTCGATTTTCCATTCATTCCGTAACCCGGTTGTACTTCATCACATTGAGGATATGACGTGAGTTGGCACATGATTCGGTCTGATCCAGCACAATTACTAACCGTCAGCATTTGTTGCTATCTTGTCAAGCTTAGTCACCCTCTTGTTTCATCCAAGTCTATTCACTCACTCACTCATTCACTCTTCGGCTGTGAAATGCACATGATCTATCCACTGTTCACCGGTACTGGTGCGATTCCATATTTGTCTGACATCTGCTTCATTGCCTAATCTTATCTGACATTGTGTATTTGACGCAAATTTATTCAACTAATTATCGATTCCGATAGATTCATTTGAGCGAGCAGAATTCATGTGAGAATAGTTCCATTCATTTCCTATGGGCCTGGATGTGGTCAGTGTGTGTGCTTGATAAATCATTGAGGTAAAAAAGCCTCCTGCCTGGGTATTATACCAAAATGCTTCTTTTACAGGTATTAGGTGGTTCGTCTGAATTTTGATGGCTCATCTGGTAAATTTTACTCTCTCTCTCAAACACAAAGATAGACAGACAGACAGACAGACAGACAGACAGACACATGTATGCCGATAGTGCCCAATAAGCAGCATTCGTATTCTGCTCCTGAACCGTAGAGGACTGAGTTTGTGGTACCTACGAGTTACATAC